CACCCCCCCAAACAAACTTCTCTGCTCAAAGTTTTCTTTGCGGATTCATGGAGATCTCAGCAAGCGCAGGCCAACCATGTTTTCAAAAAAAAATAATAAAAAAAAATTGACCCACTTTTGGGCCCAACCGGAATTCCAGTTGGATCACCCGGGGTCCAACCAGCCCGGTTGGATCCGGCCCGGTCCAACCGACCGATGGCCGGCAGAGCCCTGCCATAAACACCAAAGGGGTGAGTACCACCGTAGGATAATGATCCTTGCTCACTCTTGCAGTAGCCCTACACTGAGCTTCTGTAAGATAAAAATTCCAGCAGTCACAACACCATGAGAATGTGAGTAATGTTGTCAGTGTTGAAGCTGCCACTGCAAATCCTGCTAACAAGTTGGAAAGCCGTGTGATGTGCAACATCTTAGCACTCGAGACGTCACTCACTTGTCTGTGCGAGGAATGAGCCGTCGTGGGGGCCTTATCAGACATGCCCCGTAATTCCTACCCAGGTGCACCAGTCTGACTCTACCCCTATCCCCCACAATTCCTACCCAGTCCCCTTCCTTCAACATTGGACCCTTTCTAAGTATGGAGTTCTATTCCAGCGGGAAGCTCTCAATCATTTCCCCCAGAGCCTCTTCCGTGTGGGGGCAGTAGTGCAACCATCATACTTGCGGCGCATCACGTGCGCGCCAATTGCGCACGTGCGGCGCAATGCGCATTGCGCACGCGGCGCGCGCACATGATGCGCCGCACGGGAGAAAATCGGGGTAACGCAAAATAAAAAAGGTGCGGGGGGGTCTGAAACGAAGTTCTCCTGCCTTGCCAAAAAGGAGGAACAGGCCGCACAATTTTTTTTTCAGGTTGCGCTGAGGCCTGAAGTTATTTTTGGGCGGATGCAGTCCAGGACCCACGGCTCCATGGTTTGGTAGTATTCATAGGATCGGTCAGGTCCGATGCAGTCATTACGAAAAGGAGGCTCTGGCAGGCCGCGTTTCGTTTTTGGTTGACATAGGAACGAGAAGAATGAGCCTCGTGAAAAGGCGGTTGGAAACAAAAAAAAAGAAAAAAAGAAAACCTGTCAGCACTCTTTCCACACCCTGAATGCACGCAACCTACCTCTCAGGTCCGATACAGTCATAATAGCGTTATGCTATCGCCAGAGCACACTTCACCTCATCATGACTGTATCAGACCTGCGAGATCCGTTATGTGTGTTCAGAGTGTCCTTTAGGATTTCCATTGAACTTAAAACAATACGTGTCGCACTAGGACTTTATGGCTGTATTTAGGGCAACTTGAAGTCTAGATACAGCCATAATGTCGGTCGTCTATTTGGGTGAAGGCAGTAGGGCGCCCTCTGAAATGTATCTGACTGCAATTATGGCCATACCTGGATGAATCTGACCGCCATAACGTCCAGAGCTTAGTAGGGAAAGTCATGGTGTGAGAGCATATTAACACTCGGACATTTCCTGCTAAGCTCTGGACGTGATTATGGTCAGATTCATGGACGTTCGACCATAGTTGCAGTCAGATGCACTGAGGAAAGGGCCGGTGCGAGTAGGCCACTGAATTCTGAAAATGAGTGGGAAGCATACATTCCATGTCCCCCGCGCGTACATACCACAAACGTCTCTCTCTCTCTCTCTCTCTCTCTCTCTCTCTCTCTCTCTCTCTCTCTCTCTCTCTCTCTCTCTCTCT